CAGTAAAAATAGATAAATGTTTTCAACAAATGTTAGTTATGGAATGAATCGCTAATTCTAAAATGGAATCTATATATACATTTCTATAAACAAATAATCATGGCAATAACATTTCCATAGTAATAAATAAACTATCAATTTACAATTTATAATGTCGATTTACAGGAATCGTACTTTTCGACAGGATGATTGTATAGATGGCGTTACTGTAGATTTTGGAGATATATCGGTCGCTACAATAACATTTAATTTTTAATAAACCAAATATTAATATACTAATACTAATTTATATTATTACTAAAAGGTATGTTAGATCTATTCTATTCTTCATTGATAATTATTTGCATACTTTCTTCTTTACTTGTCTATCAATTTTTATTTGAAATTGTTTCTTTTAGATGACGCTGTGGTATCAATCAGCTGATATTCGTACATGTAAATTCACGCGTGCATCCCAGATGTAAAACTTGCCGAAATAAAACGAAACTCTAATTATTATCCAACTTCTGTCTGCGGAATGCCCTGATTTTTAATATAAAATTGTAAAATTTGATAACTTAGAGAAATTTTTTACGAACTACGGTAATTTACGATATATACACAACAATGTTCGTTAATCGCTCGCTCGAAGCCGTGAGTTTCAACTCGCAACTGTCCACTACGAAGTGCGTGTCTTAAATCTTATATTCGCATATATACATATATATGTGTGTGTGTGAATTTAGAATTTTTTCATTTATTTTCATTATTTAATATTTTTCAGATCGCAACAATCTGCTAACGTTCAAACAACAGAAATTGTTTATAATCAAAGCCCTGTGCAAACCGTTGAAACAAGAACTGTCGAGGTGCTCGCAGGTGTTTCGAAAACGAGTAAATAAATTTTGATTTTAATGATCTTACGTTTTCTAGACTCAAACCGTGACTGAAGAAAAGAAGAAACCCGAGGTGAACTATAAAAGGCTAGCTCAATTTTTGAACAGAGTTACGCCAAGTATATTAGAAGTATTAGACGAATCCTATGGAACCAACGCGTTTGAAGATTACGAGCCCAAGACTGATGATGATTCACTCACAAGCACACAATTCCTGCAAAAGATTAATAAAGTCGAATCAGATTCTCAGGTAGATATTTATCATCCTTTACACTTTACGTATCTGTGATGCCTTTGTATTATTTGTATAATGTTTTTAGATAAAAGTCAGTGATATAAGTTGGAGCATTGGAGGTGGAACATTAGCAGTTTCTTATGGTATTCCTTATCATGAAACATGGTGTGACCATCTGTCCAAAATACAATTGTACAATCAAACAAAAGAGGGTATTTTCACGGATAATCCAAATAAAACATTGGAGACAAATGCCTGCATAACGACATTGGCTTATCATCCAACTGAACCGTCCATTATAGCCGTTGGCTTGTTCAATGGTAATTAGGCATTTTATTGACTTATCTGAATTTTCCTTATTTTGTTATTTTGTTATTGTTCGTTCCTCAAATATTTTATCATACAATTGAAGCGAGAAATCAATTTGGGAAGTTATTGAAAATAATATACCTACTTTTATCATTGTTTGCATTTAATTAAGATAGCTCAATAACAGCAGTCATTTGCCAAGCGAAATACCTCGATTCAAAAATCCAATCATTCAAATAAATTATTTGTAATAATAAATAAATGAATTTGGTAAATGTACGTAAATATTATCTTGAAGAAATATTTTTTCGGAAATATTCTGTAACAAAACAAGCAAAATTCGGAAAAATCATTAAAATACATAGTTATCTATTCAATTATATTTCCAAAAAAAATATGTATTAAAGAACATATCCATAAATATTAATTGTATAAAGGTGATGTTCTTGTATGGAACTTAAGAGATGACATATCAGTGGCACCAACAACAGTTTGCACTCACGGAGATTGTGTATCTCAAGTGTACTGGAAAGCAAGAACAATAAACGACGTGTCATTACTAGTGAGCTCTAGCAAAGATGGATACATCTTTATGCACAAAATGGTGGCTAACTTTACAATTGCACGTGTATATAAACGGTAATTTTTTTTATATTATCAAGATGTTCTTAAAAAGATTTATTATAATCGCTTCATATTGTTTTAGACTGAAAGTAATCAAAGAGCACAATCCAATAGAGAACTCAAGGCCACGTAGCGCAAGTGGAACACGCGAACGCGTTGCGGAATGCGGATTGTGCATTACCACCTTTGATTTTTCGTCGAGAGATCCAATATTCTTTATCGTGGGTACCTTATGCGGTGGAATATATAAATGTAGTTTAGATCGCGTTGCTCCGATTGAAAGTATGGACGTTTCCAATGAATTCTTAAGTTAAACAGATCTGCTGTAATATAGTGATAACCATCTTTTCATTTTAGACGATGAAACTCTAATGGATCCTGTAATAGACGAGTATGAGAGACACGAAGGTAGCATTACGTGCATAAAATGTTCGCCGATACGTTCACTTTTTGTTACTGCTGGTACCGACAAAGAAATTCGCATATATGATTTTGAAGAGGTGACAATTTTTTTTTACAATTTATCTGTATGTGTACTTTGAACATAATCAAAATTAAAATATTTACGTAATCTAGCACACGAACTTACGATCGATTTCCTGTGAAAATACAATCGTGGGTTTAACGTGGATGTTCGGAGATCAAGATATTTTGGCAGCTTACGGTGCTGGCTCGGATATCAGATTATACAATGTCACTAATGGAAAATCCGTGACAAATGCAAATTTTGAAACGAGCGATAGACAAAACACTAGCTGCTTACGCGTGAATTTAAAGAAGCAAGCATACATTAGTAGAACAATAGATATATAGTTAATAATCTACATTACAATGTCATTTGTAATATTTTTTTTTACAGAAATATGGTGGCCATTGGTGACACACAGGGAAATATAGAAATTTGGAAAATCCCAAGACAACTGTTGTAAGAATCTTAAATAACACGCGCTATAAATACGTATTATTTATGCACTGTATTACTAATATTATTATCTTGCAATCCACGTATATATTTATTGTATGACGAAATACATTACTTTTTATAAATATATTACTTTTCGCTGTTCTATTTTCATATTTCTTTCTAATAACGTGCAGTATCTAAAATTAGGTGTAATTAGACATTTTGTGATTTAAATATCATAATATGTAATTTGAAGTAAACTTTCAATCTAGTAAAAACAAATTCATTGCAAAAATGTATGAAAGAAGCAATAGTTTGTTTTTATGAATTTAATACCTCATCAATTGCTGAAAAATGGACTTAGTAACTACGGTACTGTGAATGAAAGTGACAATTGAATTTATATACTGCAGTTTTTTGCCTACGCAGTATATAAGTCGTGTGAAAAATTCTAACAACAGTCGAGAGTTGGAATTGTGCAATTGGTAGTCTTTGTACTTTGTGTTAACTATTGCAAGCTCTTAGAAGCAAGGTTGGCAATAAGTACTGTAAATATTGAACAATTGAATGTGCTTCTTGATTTATCTCGTGCCACAGGTATATGAATTGACCTAACATACAATGTATTCTTTTGTTCCATGATTTCGGGCTCCTATCACGACCCTTTTATCTTATTTTGGTACTAGTTGTTTACTGTATTTAAAACACTACTAATTCAAGTTAGAATAAAACTGAAATATTGTTAATTGCACGTGTAATCATAGTATGTAACAAAAATATTCTTACAGATAAAAATTCAAAATTTTTTTTATAATAATTACTAAGAAATTAATTTCAGGGAATTCATAGTAGGATTGAATAAATAAATACTTCCATACATTGTATAAAAATATATTCATTAAAAGTCAGTTTTTAAAATAATAAAACAGTAGCAATTGAATAAATACTTGAATTTCTTCGCCAAGCTATTGACGTGTAACCTTTTCAATTCCAAATCCACATTCTGTCTTCATTACTTATTCTCTTCGACGTCACAAGTACATGTAAGCATGAAACTTCAAAGTACGACCAAGATATATAATTTGCGTTGCATAATTATATAAATCTCATTACTTGCATCTTTCATTGCAAAACAAAATGTATGATATGTATTTCAATATATGCATGTAAGGATCTATCATTTTGATAGAATCATATAGAGATAATCCAATAAAAGAATTTTTCATAAGGAGGTCAACGAAATCATAAAACTGATTCGCTTTTCTAGTGAAACGTGACACACTTAAAACTTCGTTCACTGAACGTTCTATACTGGAATTCTTCCACGACTTTCTTCTTCAATTTCCATGCAAATGCGCTTGTCTCAGTCATGTTGAACTGAACGCTGTAATAAAGAGATACATACAATTAATATATAAACATTATACTATTGGAAACATACATACCCAACACATTACAAAGTCAAGTGAAATCCATTGCAAAAGCGAAAAACAAGAATTGCTAACAGTTCAGGTAGTCTCAAAGTTCTCATCTTGGAAAATTCCATTGTTTGTACTTTCTAGATTTTTCTCCTGCAAGAAGAAGGCGTTTGCCCTTTCGTCCTCAAAAGGACGATTTTAAATTTTTGTCCTGAAAAGTTTTTTTTTTTTGCATGTTTAGTTCAGCCGAGGAGCTGCTACTCCATAAATGAAATATTTGCGGGCCCTGAGAAGGGCCCTAAAGAAAAAAAGAATAATAAAGAGGAAATGTGGACGGGATATGCGCAATATGTGTGTAAAGTATGGTATAAGAGAGGAACAGGATTCATAATATTATCATCGAAAAGTGTCAAGGGAAGCTGAATGCTTCTCTGCTGCGTACAATTTCGGCCAGTAGTTTTTGTCTTTGCTGTTAGAAGAGAAAATAATGGTAAAGGTGAAAGAAAAAAGAAAGTAAAAAAGGAAAAAATGGGTAGGGAAAAAAAGAAAGACATGATAGTGTCTACGAAATTGCCAGGAAATGTTGAGAATTTTGCACTATTTCGTTCTTCCTGATTTCTTCTTCAGAAGAACGGATCCATTCACACGCGAGGGTGGACATCAAAAAATCTTCAATTGTGTGCACTCTCCCTCTATGATAAAATTGTATACAGATTCTCGCTCGCTGAGAAAATTTCCAGCTATCCACCAACTCTCTCTTTCTCTCACTCTCTCTCTTTCTCTCTCTCTCTCTCTCTCTCTTTTGAATTTTTCTCAATGTAACTTCAGTCTCTCAAAGATTCACTTCTGTACTCTCATGATGAACGTATGCCGTACGTGGCATACAGGTAGTATGCGATGGTAATACTAAGTATGAGGGCCCAGTGTTCATTCAATTTGAATTTGCCACATGTGACTCATCGTAAACGCGCATCTCTTTCTGACATTGAATCTCTTAATTCTGCTTCTGTTGTCGTTTTCTTATATACATAATACGTGTGTATATGGATGAGCATGTATACTTCTGTGTGTGTATATACGTGCCTGTAGTTGTGCTGTACTTTGAAATACTTTTCAAAGGAAGTCAATTCTAACTTTTGACTCCCACGAATCGCCTCAGAAACTTCTGCTTTGAACTTTCTACAAAAAAGATTCTCACACCAAATCCTTGTTTCTAGACGGAAGAGAATCCAAGAATCTTTTTCCTCCTCCTTCTCCTTCTCCTCCTCTTCTTCTTCTTTGAAATCTCCTCAACTCATGTTTGAGCTTTCTCGGCGACTATTGCACACCAACGTTTCCAATCTTATATATACTTCGTTCCTTGTCTCTCGATAGTCTCTTCTATACTCTTATTCTGAACTTTCCTTTCATTGATATTCCCTTACTTTTCTCATCAGTCATTCTTCCCATCCACTCTGTTTCTCATGCACACTCCTCACTGCTTTTACACATCGATTTTTTTTGGCGCCTTTTGTTCTCAAAAAGACATTTTTTCTGGTGGTTTTTTAAAAATTCTCTCACACTCGCTCCAGTCTCGTTCAAATCCGCTTTCTCGCTTACTTCCTCGTCAATAATCAAACTTGAAAGACATTATTATATCTCCGCCATTACTCGCGATTAATAATTGTCGTTCCATTCTACGATACTGTCATATTTACACTTTTGCTTCTTCTTCTTTTTCTTCTTCTTCTTCTTCTTCTTCTTCCTGCTTTCGTTTTATTATCGCCGACAATCGCTTCTTTCGCATCTTCTTCGTATTTCTTCCTTCTTCTCTACCATTGTGATTACACGCTTACTATACTTACTTTCAAAAAAAAAAAAAAAAAACCGCGTGTATACGTACTCGAATAACAGTACCAAAATTACGATATATAAATGATTACGCTTTAGGTACGACTTGGATTATCGCTATATTTTGTTCTCCAAGTACTCGCCCTGGCTGTGTCTTGCCAGTTTCCTTTCATTTCCCCGGAGGATTATCATTATATTTTCATCATCTTCCTCATCGCCGTTCGCAATAATTATCTTGCTCTAGCGACGAAAACCATCGAGACGATTTTTCTGTGAGGGGAAAAAAAAGAAAAAAAAAAAAAACGGCAAAAAATAATTGCTCCTCTGTCGAACCTGGACGATTATATTAATTATACCATCAAAAAAATCTTCTCTTCACGAAAACGTGTTATTATCTTGTCTCGTGGACACGACCTCGCCTCTCTGACGACTCCTTTGCTTCTTTGCTAATTTTATACAGTCTTCCGTGCACGTCGGACGCGCAAACACGAGACGATTGTTTCGCCAAGAAAACAACGGGATGCGCGTCGAGAAAGGTGGCCAATCGATATTTATTCTCGTCGATCGCGCAATCGTTTTGATCTCCCGTTATCCTCTTGTCTCTACTCTTTTCATCTCTTCTTCTTCTTCTTCTTCCTCCTTGGTCCTCTCTTCGTTTCCATTTCCTATTTTTTTATTCATTCGAAGAAATAAAAGTTCGACAGGAGTTGCGTCCAGTCGAAATTCTCTCTCCTCCTCGATACAATATATACATATATACATATATATATATATACATATATATATATACATATACACATATATAATATATATACATATCACGATGCGAATGATTTGTTGGTAAATTGTGCATGCCGTTTCGAGAAACATCGGCAACATATTGCAAACCGGAATGTACTTTTTTTTTTACGAGTTTTCTTCGGTGTACATACAGTACGTATGTTCATATTCTTGTTTTTTTTTTTTCTTTTTTCTTTTAAACACGAGAGCGACCAAGTTACAACCTCCATCCTTCGGAATGATACAGAAAATCTCGTTCTTGCGCGTAACGACGATGTTCTATCTTCTTCTTTCGTTGCCACCCTTCTTCTTCTTCTTCTTCTTCTTCTTCTTGTTTCGTTCGCTCTTCTTCTTCTTCTTTACAAGTTTCAGGTCGCGAAATAGATCCCAAAAGACGTGTATCGATCGAGTCGTTCAAAACGTGGCGCTCGAAGGATACCGTGCGCGGCAGCCATATTGTAAATGAACTTTTCTTCTTCTTCTTCTTCTTCTTCTTCTTCTTCTTTTACATAACAAAATATTCTCTTTCACAAATCGAATTTCACCTGCGTGTGTGTGTATATATATATATATATATATATGTATATGTATATGTATATATATATATACAATTATTCGTGGACCTTGTCCATTTTTCTTCCCTTGTCTGACGCCTAGACCCACTTTTCTCTTCGTAGTCGATCGATCCTCCTCCGAAAACAAAACAAATCACATGCGAAACGGGCAGCCTTAGTACGATAGTTTTTTTTCTTTACAATACAGTGTTTTCTTATGTATGCGCGCGAGTCGAACCTTAAACGTACTGCTTTTGCGAAATTTACGTACAATAATATATATATATATATATATATGTGTGTATGTGTATATATATATATATATTTGTTTATTTATATATATATATAACCTCTATTTTCTTATGTACCCTAAAACTTGCCAGTAAATTGCATCGTGTCTGCGACGGAGTTTTATCAAAGAGACACGAAAGGGAAAATCAAGCATCGTTATTGTTCTTCTCGCCGTTATGTCGTTTTTGTCTCTTCGTCGTTAATTTACACTCATTTACATACGCACTATATGTCTCTCTCTCTCTCTTATTCTACCTTATCGTCGTCTATCGCAGAAATAATCCGTGACTCCGTAAAATCCTAATTATATCTATATATAATTTACTGTCTAACGATAAACTCGTCGCCACTATTTCGTTGGGGGGTTGGGGTGGAGGATGTGTAGATGATAGAACAAAAGTTCTGACCTTCTGTGTTTTTTTTTCTTTTTTTTGTTTTCTGTATAACCTTATCGGACTCGCGAAGCTTATACTCTCGAAGACGACAGGGTTGATTATCAATATAGTCCATCGAATCTTCCTTTTTTTTTTTGCATTTGTCTTCCTATATATATATGTCCTATATATATATATATATATATGTCTTCCTTCTTTTTAAGCCTCAGTCGAAATATACTTTTTTTAATACTGTTGCGTCGAGATCACGAATTAGATTGTAGTAAAATGTTGGATTTCTTCTTTTTTTTTTTCTTCTTTGTGAATGCGAAAGACCTGCCGTTTCTCAAGCATAAGCTTCCTCGAACGGATAGTGCCATTTGGCGCACCGTACCAAGCCTCGCGTTTCGGTTTAGCCTTCTTTTCTTCTCTTTTTATGTACAACACCTCTAACGTTGTCATTCGGTTTAAAGCAGACCAGAGTTTCGCGGAACAATGCTCTGTACAGCGATGCTCGGTGTAAAGTTGCAAACTTACAAAACGTAGGAAAGAAAGAAGAAAGAGAAAAAAAAAAAAGAAAATGAAAGAAAGGGCAGGAGAAACTGTTCGAAGAAATGCCACGTGGTTTGTAGGACGTATTACTCGGACGCGTACGAACGGAGGAGAGACATCTGCCAACGAGTGAAAGGCCGTTTTCGTCAAAACCATTTCAATTTCTCTTCTTCGTGATTCGAAATACGTACTAACTTTTCAAGAATTCATCGAATAACTGGCCGATCGTCTCTTAAAAGAGAACGTAGTACCCACCTAAAATTTAGCGTCCTCGTAACAAACTAAAACTCGTTGTGAAATTCGTTAAAATCAAAGAAAAAAAGAACTAAAGAACAAGTCAGTCAAAGGATCATCAATCAAGCGTTAAACGATCGTTTTTTTACATTTTCGTTAATTTGCTTCTACGTGTTGCTAAAATTCACCGTTCACCCGGAAACTAGGTCCACTAGGAATCATTCACTACTGGCCGACTAAAAAAGCGGTGTACGAGCACACCTGGTACAGCATTTTGACAAATTTGGTAATCGACTCTGGAAAGTCGAAAGCACACGCGGTGCCTAAATGTTTAATTAATTTAATTTTCACGTTCAAAGGGATCGTTGAACTCGGACAGTTCATCGCGCAGACGTCGCTCCCCGGCGCCGAGTTTTCGAAAAGGAAGAAGAAAACTCTAAAGTGGCCTAAACACGTAGGAAAAAAAATTATTGTCACGCGCGTGCAGGCGATTCTTTTTCTTTCTTTTTTTTTTTTTTTCACCCTCTCTTTCCTCCCGAAACAACGCACAACGACAATACACGTCGATCACACGTGCGTTGCTCTTCCTTTCTCTCTTATTTTGTCTTCGCAGCATCCGATGATCGATCGCGCGCAAAATGGCGCGCGACAGAAACCGCTCTGCACGCGCGAGAAATCGAGAAGCTGAACAACGGACGCGAGTTTGTTTCAATTTGCCGTTTTGTTGTTCGTTACGAAACGATAAAACGTGTTCGATTCTTGAGAGAGAGAGGAACTCTCCCCCTCTCTGTATACAATATATTTAATATAATATATTTATATTCATTCTCTCTCACACGCACGCACACACGCTCTGTCACCTCCAAAAAGAAACTCGCACACTTTTCTTTTGGCACGCTCGCATACACACACTCTCTCACTCTCTCTCTCTCTCTCTTTCTGATGATATCACCGACGCACGCATACTTTCTGGAAAACACACTCAAGGTATATATCAAGGTACATGGTCGAATCTCGATTCGCTAAAATAGTCAGTGCGTTTTTCTTTTCTTTTCTCTTCTTTTCTTTTTTTTATCTTCTTTTGCTCGTCGCGATCGCGCGACCGATCCCGTTTTCCCCCTACTATATTTTTTATACTTGGTTTAGCCGCACATCAGCTAACGACACGGATACTTTTCTCGCGTTGCTGTGTTCTACCCAGTAAACAATTTGAACAATTTCATTGCTTCTCTTATTTTTTCTTTTTTTTTTTTTTTTTATTTATTATTTCGCCTTTCGCGATTCATTGACGATCTGTTTGTTTTTATTTCGCGTGTATACTCTTTTCCCGAGTTTTTTTTTAACTCCCCGGAACGAAGTACGTGGGGAAAGAAAAGAAAGAAAAAAAAGGGGGGGTGGGGGAAGTAAAAGCTTTTACACGCATTTTACGATCTGATCGCGCATCGCGCTGGCGTACGGCTAAGACTTTCACGAGCAGCAGCACGAAGAAGGATTAAAAAATATTGTCATCGACAGGCTCTCGTCGGAGATTGCGATTACAGGGGATTTACAAAGATAAACGATCGACAGATTACGAGGTTACTTCTCTTTGCTACCGTAGGTAAAAATCGTGTGAAACCTCCTTTCTTAGACCGATGGTCTAGCACTTCGAGAAAATGGTCTTTCTTCTTTTTTCGATCAATGTAGAAAAAAACACGCGCCGTAGAACCACGCAGTTGTTGTTGTTGTTGATCTTTCGATCAACTTCTTTTCTTCTTTTTTTTTTTTTCTGTTTGTTTTTCTCTTTCATTCGCTGGCGTCTCCTCGAAATCGAATGTCGCGTCGAACACTCGAAACGAATCGAATCTCGAAGAGGCTCGCCGATTTGTTGGCCGATTTCTGCGCGATTGCTACGACCGCGGTGGATTTGGTATCGAAACAAAGAAATAAAAGCGAAAAGAAAGAAAAAGGAATATGTGTCTCTTTCGCGGGACACAGGACTGAGATCGAAGCGCGTGCCTTTGAGATTTTTTTTCCGAGAGTGAGTAGAAACGATTTAAAAAAAAAAACCGCCGAGGACGGGGGGATCATCTACGTTCTCGCGGGAAATCTAAGTGGAAAGAAAAAAGGAGGAACGATTCAGATTACGAAAACAGCAACAGTCAAGTCGACTCTCGCCGACTAAAAAAAAAAATCACGCGCTCTCTCGCGCGCGTCTCTCGTTTAAAAAATATTGATTGAAGTATTTGATTTAAATATATTTAGTCCGTAGACCATGGCGCTTTAGAACGACAGAGCTTCCTTCCTTTTTTCTCTCTCTCCCCCTCTCCTTTCTTTTTTTTTTCTCTTCTTCCATTGCCTCTCTGTTTCTTTTTTTCTTTTTCTTTTTTTTTCCTTTCATTTCGCTTCGTCAGACCTTCCGAACTTAATTCTAAATTTAAGGCTTAATTAATTAATCGACATAGTGTTTTCTGTGGCTCGTGTTTCGTGTCCCTGTATAATGATCGGTGAAGCCTCGTACGAAAAAAATCGATTTTCATTCTCTTGCATGAAAGATCAATTTTTCTTTTTTTCTTTTTTTTTTGAGAACGACACGTTACATTATACGTACGTGTGTGCATGTATGCGTGTGTATGTGTGTGTATGTGTACGCGCGCGCGTGCGTGTATGTCGTTTAAAAAAAAACGATGTCGCGCTTCGAAACTTTCCTCTTGACAAAATACTTTTGAGGGTTTCAAAGCGATTTCGATGCGCGACACGCGATTTCACTTTTGTTCATTGTTCATTTCTTTATTGTTTGACGTTGTTGCTCGAAGACGTTGGTTCCATTTTGTTTCCTTTTATACACGTGTCTTCTTTTCATTTTGATACCTCGAATGAGCGGGAAAACCTCCGTTCTCATTTCTCTCCCCTTTGACTTGATTTGAAACGAAAAGAAAAGAAAAGAAGAAAAAAAGAAAGAAAGAAAGAAAGAAAGAAAAAAAACAGATTCGATTTGCCGGTAATTCTTTCCCTAACGAGAAGTATATAGTACGGATATGTGTCACACAGTTAAGACTCTATGCCTGCTCTTTAACACCACCGTATCGCACGTAGAGAGTTTGCCAGAACACGCCAAACGACGAGGAAGGAAGAAAACGAAAGGAAGAGAACGCTAAAAACTCGAATAAAACAGAAAAACAGAGCATCCCTGCGAGTGCACGTGTGTGCAAAAATTTCACCCTGAACCGAGAACCGAGCTGAAAAACCTCGTGGGAACTTGCAGAGCAAAGCTTGTTCTGCAACTAAATCCAGAACCAGACTGAATCTGACCCGTGAACCGCGGAAATGATATATTGAGGCGATAACAAGTGGTTGATTTGTTTTACTTCCTGATGTCGTTAATCTAAAATTACAGAGACTCGCGATTCGTGAAGGAAAAAGTAAGAAAAGAAAGACGAAGAGAGCATGTTTCTCAAAAATCAAATTGCATACAACTTCGTTGAAAGAAAAAGAAAGGGAAAAAAAGGAAGAAGAAGAGACAGATGAAACAATCATCTTTTCTCTTGAAATAACAAATGATAATCGTGTGTATATATATTTATATATATATATATACACACATATATATACACGAAAGTGCACGAAAGAACTTCTTAAATAAAAAAGAAATGCCAAACAGAATTAACAACTCTCCCACCACTTAGCCGAAAGAATGAATAAAGGAAGAGAAAAGCAAGAGCTTCGATCGAAAGAATCTGTACAACTGCTTCTTCCCCCCCTCCCCCACGGCACGCGTCACTGAAGAATCTAATAACGCGTTAAAGAGCCGAGGGGAGGGGGCAAATTATGTAATCGCAGAAGCTCTCCAAAGTATCAAAGAATTTACATAATCATACAGGAAAAACAGAAAACGCCTGTGTCGAACACAATGACGAGTCAAAGAGGAAAAAAAGAAAAAAAAAATATTGCGTTTGGACGCGTTTTCCTTCTTTTCTTTCGCGATAATTATCACGCTTCGTTCCATAGCCCCTACCAGTTAGAATCGCGCGAAGAATTAAAAAAAAAAAAAAAAAAAAAAAAGAAAGTTAGTTGTCGATTGCGAGCAACATCGTTCGTTTTCCGAAGGAGATCGGCAAAGAAAGTCGTTCGAAAATCCACGGAGGATACGTGTATAGACCGAAAGCGGACATGCAAGGGCACGTAACACCGTAGAATAATTATTCTGTACGTGCACCCGTATGTCGCGCACGGATGGTTCGTCGACGGATGCATCACGGATGTATAAATGCGGAACTCGACGTGGGAAATGCCCACGCAGTCAATGACGCCACAAATGACGAACTTTCTGTATAATTTTCAGCAACGTATGAAATGCACAGTCACCGGGAAAATCCGTTTCGTTAACTTAACAGCGCGAGCAAGCAATTCATTTCGTTCCAACAAGATAAAAGATTAAACTTCTCAAAGATTAATCTCATTTTTGTTGAAAATCGAGAGTTAAATCGCTCTTCCTTCTTATACGTTTTGATCGAGAAAAAAAAAAACATATTTGGGAGCGTTGCTTCATCTTTAAAAATAAAGAAACGTATAAAATAATATCTCTGATGATAGTTAAAATCGTGACGTTTTGTGAGAGTGTTTTTTTTTTTTTACAAAATGGACCCGTGACACATCCATGAAGCATTAATATACGAGAATCTTAATTTCGTCCTGTCGATTACCCTTCGACCCCTTTTTATTTGTTCCGTGTACCTCGTGCGACGAACGATTTTTTTGTACGTTACAATATCACAATAAATGCCAGCCGAGGTTTGGGTCGCCTCCGTATCTTTTTTCTTTTTTTTTTTTTCCCCCCCATCACTTCCCGCTTTTCTATTTCATTTCAAAATTTAAATAAACTGAAGAGAAAGAGAGAGAGAGAGAGAAAAATACAATAAAAATTTCTTTTTCTTTTTTTTTTTTTTTCTTTTTTCGTTCGTAAGCTTGTACCACTTGACGAATTTAATTTTTTAAAACGGAAAATTAAATAAATCGAAAACATGCCTGTTCGACAGGAAACATATTCCGAGAAAAAATTCTCGTCGTATTTCGCTCGCATTATTTTTTTTTTCCTTTTTTCTTCTTTTTTCTCTTTTTTTTTTCCTTTTTTTCTCTTTTTTTCCCCTTTTTTGAAACGACCCAAGTTCTCGTTGGCCCTTATAATTAAAGCTATCAACTATATTTTCATCTCTTAAAGTCGACGAAGGTGGATTACGACACGCAACGATGGACGTACTCGAAAAAGAGTTCCTAAATAATATTAAATTTCTTTGCCCCTTGTCGCGGAAACATTGCACTCCTCCAGCTTCCCCATTGCTTTTCTATTTCACTCTTGTTTTATCCACGATCGAACGCACGCCTAACATCCCTAATCTCGCTAGGCTCTTTTTACAAATAGTTTTAGTAGTAATACGTTGAAGTGCGCGGGCAAGTCTCGCATTTCAAAAACAAGGAAAACCATCACGCGTTTTTTTCCATTCGCGTCTTACGTTCTCGTCTCTCGGCCAGACGTACAACAAACGCAGTGTGCGTGCGTTATACGTCAAGTCGAGGCGGATGAAAGAACGTACGAGGGAAAGAGAAAGCAGATGGTTTCCCTCATCCCAAAATTCTCCCTCGAAAAAAGCGGTAATTACACATTGTTTTCCTTAAACTCTTCATACTTGCAAGTTTCTTATATTACCCCATCTTATTGTTTATAATCATATACATATAATATATAATATATATATGTGTGTGTATGTATGTTGTATATGTACATATATATGCACATGTATATATATACATATACGCATGTGTACATATATATATATATATATGTGTGTGTATATATACATGTTGATCAGTTAGCAATTAAAAATTAGTAGTACCTATAGGGTCATCATCACAGCTAATTTCTTATCATCTTTTAAATGAATATTATCGATTGGTTGATTACACACTTTATAATTCGTGTCCCTTTTTTTTTTCTTTTTTTCTTTATTTCGTGACGTTCCACCTATTTTTCTCTCCCCTCTTCGCGATTTTCTTTTTCCCTTCTTCTGTCCTCCCTCTTTCCCCTTATTGTAACAATTCGATCGTCACGAATGATCTCATTTAAACCGAGCCTGGCATCCTTCGACCGCTGATTTCTCTCTCTTTTTTTGCTTTTTTTTGTTTTTGCTTTTTTCTTGTTTCACTTTTGCACATACTGACTATTTCTTTGCACTTCTGCGAGACTCGAGTAGGTAAGAATTATATATGCATATTGCTGCACCTCGAAGTTTCAGATTCCTTCTCCAGTTTTTTTTTTTCTTTTTCCTGTTTCTTCTTCTGTTTTGCTCTCGATCGGAACGGAACAAAACGCCTTTACAGCGAGATTTCAATTTGATCTCCCCCCCTTTTATGTATACCGTATATATACATAATACACCATCGTCCGTCTGTTTCTCATCGTATGTACACTAATTCCATTTTTTCCCCGCTTCTTTTTTTCTTTCCCCTCTCTCTCAATTTTTATACAATTACATATACAAATGCCGTTTGAAAATTACAATTTTCCACATCATCGCTCGCCCCCGTCTAACGTTATTTACACGATTCGCGAATGACGCACAATAATAATATCCTCGCGTTATGCTCGATCCGCGCGATAATCCTGTGTATATGTTCAAAAGCTAATCGATTCCATCGATCTCGGACAGGACGGCAGTGTTTTTAATTCGTTTCAGCCTATGCGAGCTAGCTTTCGTTTTCTTCAGAAAAAAAACTCGCAAACGAACTTGAAGAATTTTCTCCGTTCTACCTACTACCATGGACGCGTTGTTCCAGGATTACCACGTTTAGAATGCCGTGTTTGGCACGATCGTACGAATACAAATTCAACACTCGATTTAAAAAAAGAAAAAAAAAAAAAAAAAAAAAAAGAGAATAACTCACCGGGTTCAATTATTAATTTGCGGAAAGGGATCGCTGCACATCCTCCCCACTGAATGAAAACGAATGTGACAAAATATGCGATCCTTCCGTGACAAAAACTATTTACATTTTACTAAAGAAAGCCTCTTTTGGAATTTATGCGTGTATATTGCTAGTGAAAAAACGTTCACGACGTCTTTGTTTACGCGATTAGAAGAACAATTTTCTCTGTCGATATGATTCCCATTCTCTATTTTTCTCAGACTTGTTTTCTTTTCTTTTCTTCTTCGCCTAACCATGTCCGACAATTCCTCTTCCGTCGAGAGCAGAAACTACTATTAGCAACGAATATGCTGATCGTCGATTATCCTCCAGCACGCGTGGTGCTACCTTCACGAAGAAATTATTTTTCCCCTTTATCAGAACAGAAATTTAGAAAGAAACTTCTCGAAGAACCTTGAACGAATGTAACACCTTTACAAAAGGGAGACAAATTCAAAGAACTGAAAATCATATGCCATACCTGATGAATTAATCGAATCACGGTGTAACAAAAGTAAGAGAAACTAAAAACCAGGTGTTTTAATGAATACGTTGGACCTCTTTTTCCACCTAAAAAAGTTGCTACTCTCTTTTGCTTCCTGCGAGTCGCCGCACGGCGGTGGTTTTCAAAATCGGAAAAGAGAACGAATCAAATATCGTATTTGATGAGAACCGATTGCTCGAAATGAAAACCAATGAAACTGTCCCCTCGATTTTTTTGCAGAATTCACACCAACCATTTTTACCAAGGATACACACTGCTGCCAAATGCTATAGATACGATAAAAATTTTACCTTACATGGCTACAAAGATGGAGGAAGTAATTGAAAGTTCGAAATTGCACGTATTTTTTCACATTTGTTTCTCCATTTCTCGGTCACTTCTTCGCACAGGATATATACACATTCACACGTACGGATAGACTTCAGTAGCTTTTTTTTTCTCGAGATATATACACCGAGACCTATTTTCGTAATTCACTCGAAAAACTAAACCTACGAGAAACGAAAAAAAAAAAAAAGTAATTATTGAAGGAAGAATGAAACCAACGTAATTTAAGAAAAAAAAAAAAGATCGATGCTTTCTTTCAGATAAAAAGAAAAAAAAAAAACGTATCAGTTAAAACAGCACTTGGAATAATTTGGTCACGTGTTTAAATATCTACGTGTTTAAATACATCATTGTGTTTTAGGTAAAAAAAAATTAAAAAAAAGAAAAAAAAGAAAAAAAGAAAGAAACGAAACGAAAACGGAAAACGAAAAAAGAAAAATGCAAAAAAAAAAATTAGTAATCCTTGTCACGTAACATGTGCAATGTTGGAAAAAAAAAATTAATTTGTAAAATTAGCAAAAATTTCATCTTTGAAACATTTAGATTTACTGAACCAAAAAATTTTGGAAACTCATAATTTCAGTACCGAATAATAGACGTTATCCAAGCCTAAAAACAAATAAAATTACTTTATAATAATGAAATCCCAATGACAAGCCTCTGACTGGACTTCTTATATTAGATAAAAATTAAATTTGTCACTCAGGAAACTTCCATAAAAATTTTGTTAATTTAAGCAGAAGTACTGCTTAATCTGTTTTACTGAATTTATTGAAAAATAAAGAAAAAAATAATAAACATTCATCAATACACATATTGTACCACATTTTCACGATTATTCTATCGCACAATGCTATCTCATTCTTTCATCAATGAATTATCTGAATTTCAAAAAGATTGAATTTATCTGCATGCATGCTGGAAACTTGTCACTTAAACCTTATATAATGCTTTGCAGAACAATTGCAAAGCTGCAAAACGAATACCTTCGAATAATAAATAGAAGATACCTACCCATAATAGAAACCAAAAATTTTGCTGCGATAAATCTTTCAAGGGTAATTTGATTATGTCCTTAAGATTCATTGAACATATATATCTAGCAAAACCTAACTGAAGAAAATTCGCGTACCAATAATCATTAGTCTGAGATACACCACTTAATTGATACTTAGATTTATGCTAAAGAGCAGTAGATGAATATGTGTAATACTTGAAGTTTATCAAGTTGTGTTATAAATGTAAATTACCTTTCAATGCGGAAAAAAAAAGACGATTAACATCTTGCGCAAAGATTTAAATAAGTGTTCTGGAAAGAATTCCGGACTGCGATTGGAAAAGAATAAAAAGTACTGTCAATGATCAACATAGCGATTTTGATTTAAAAGAAAAAAAAAAAGAAAAGAAGAAGAAAGAAAAAAGAACATATAGCTATTATTTCTAAAAATAGCTAATGCAGCTTTGCCCTATGTCTTCATACCATTTCGTCAAACAGATAATATAACAGTGTTTATGTGTTTTCTGTATGTGTATGCGTCTCTGCAAGTTAATCATATATAATAATAATCTAAAATACATACGTTTATACCTTCATAGACGGCGCATAATAGAATCGTTACAAGTTATCTTATATCATGAATCATGTTTCACAGCAGACGCACCCGCGTCTTTCATACTCAAAGTTTATACGCTTGTATATATGGTTTTTTCTCGTTTTTTTTTTTTTTTTTTTTTTTGTTTCTTATCTACTCTCAGCATCTGGTGCCGTGAAACTGAAGACGCTGGTGCCCCCGTGTTTTTAGTTGCAATATTGTGTATCGTTCTTAAAGAGATTGTATTATCGCGCAGTTATAAACACTTCTGTTTTTTTTTTGTGTTTTTTCTTTTCAAACGAACAGCTTGACATCGCGTACAAGAGAAAAAATACATCCTCAAATCCAAGAATGAGGGGTGGAAACGATAATATCGTACCTTGTCTCTTTGCTTTTTAGGAGCTGGTTACCGTTTGTGTCGGTTTGTTGGTCTTTAGGTATCAGGCTTGGACGTTTAATATCATCTTCAGATGATTTGAAATATCGCAACTCCTGTCGGATTGTTGACAACTGCCCATCAGTCTCGTAGTCCAATGGCTCGGTGGTTTCGGAAGGCTCGCAGGAGACGGCGGTTCGGAAAACTTTGCACCCGCATAGAAACTGTTTGTAGGACTCCCGCGCGAGTAACGCAACGGCGAATCGCAGCGCAACGGCGAATTTCTCGCGCCCTTTGACGAATTGTGCGGGCTACAGCTTAATCTGCCGGTTGAACTTTTACCATGAGATCTTCCACCATTATAGAAAAACGTCGACGATTTGATTGCACTCGAACGGTGATGATATCGTTCTACGCCGACATTCGGCGAACCCTGCCGATCTACTTTATTCTTCAATTTCGGTACCGAATTCGTCATGGTTTCTTGATAATACTTTCGTCTTTCCAATCATTCACAAAGTCAACCGACCCATCTGTAAAAGTCAGAAAAATCTGTAGACATTATTCTTGGCCCTTTCAAAAAAATTTCACTGGTCGTGAATTGAAAATTTTCAACATGTAAATGGCGATGTGGATAAAAATTTTCAACGTGTATGGATCAAAATTTTTAGCATGTATGATCCAAATTTTCAACGTACATGATTATAGATCAATATGCACTGTTCCGAAGAAAGGAAGGAAATATTTCATTTCATTTTATAGCAAAACAATTGGACATGCGATACTTAAGAATATCAAAATATATATCATGACCAAGTCATAAATATATTTTACATAAACTCAGTACTCGATAATAAAAGTAACATGCAAAAGATGTTAACTTCTTGTCTTACCATCTTTTTCAAAAAAATATTACTTTTGTACGTACTTACTGCCTCGATGCCACATTTAAAACAAAACATTGAAACATCACATAGTTTGTGTTTTTTCATTCGAATCTTTTAATTATGAAAATAAAAAAACAAAGGCATCAAATACTTTCTGATGTGATCCTTTAATACAAAACCTTTTACCTGCAGGAGATGACAGTTCTGAATATAATATATAGGGTGAGTGAAAAATCGTAGTATAACCGGCTAGAGGTTATTCTACGTAAAAAAAAATGTAAAATTATTAACAACATTGTTAAAAATAAAGAAAAAAATGTAAAATTATTAACAACATTGTACAACTAAAGCAAAAAATTCTTCAAGTGTTTGAAAAATTAAAAAATAATACGTTACAATCCGTTCAGTTTATCTTTAATTTATCGAGCACAATTACGTATGCAGCAACGAGGACAACATTTCCAACCTGTAAAGTAATAAACTGAAATGAAAGTAATAAAATTCAAATTCGATTTTCTCAAAAACGAAGCCTCGGATGAAAAAATTGTATACCACATTTTTTCCTCATTTTTTTTACGTAGAATATTATCCCCTGGCCGGTTGTATTACGATTTTTCACCTATCTAGTATAATATAAATATAAAATAGAATATAATTGACTAAATATAATAAATACAAAATTGATGTGACACTAATGCAAACATAGTTACCTGAATAAACAAAAATTACTGTCTTGTGGAAGATCCAGGTGCATAAGATAATCGACATCTCATATCTACTATTTCATATTACTCAGAAGTCTACAATATAATTTGTTTTAGCGATATCATATCTACTATATCATATTACTCAGAAGTCTATAATATAATTTGTTTTAGCGACAAATAATAAAACAACGAAGTAATTATTTTAAATTACTCTTTGTATAAAAATACTAAGAATTTTACATTTTCTAGTAGTGGGACACGTCTGTCCCACTACTAGAAACAATATTTTCAATTGTAGAAAATACTCAACAAAACTGGCAGATATTGAAGATACTAGTGTACATTGATAATTTCTAACACCAAGAAATTTATCTTAGATATATTTTTTTCTCCACTATAATAGATTCTCCATTTAGATTCTAATGGATATAATTTGTTTCATTATTTGTCACAAAAGTACAAATTTATATATTCGACGAGTCGAATAGTAATAAATCTAGCCTCAATTATACCGTATGACACCTGGATAATGGGATAATTTTGCTCTATCCCGGTATCTTATGGGTAGCCGGGTCTTCGAGTCTCTCACATACCGTAAAGGTATTAGCTCTAATAGGCACATACCTGCTTCTATCCACGCTACGAATATATAAGGCAAGAGATTTACAACAAACATTAATTTTACTATCGCTATCATCATAAATAAAATGTATACAATAAAAGTAAATAACAATAAAATAAAGGCAAAAACACTGTTTCGTTTCATGTTGCATCGAAACAGCAAACACCGGAGAGGGGAAGAAACCAATTAATATTGAAATTCTGTTGTGAAAACTTACCGTACGATGTGCGCGGGCCACTTTTCAAAGATGCAACCAGGTTTTCGGCGGTGTTTGTATTCAATGAATTTTCTAACTGCGCAATAATCTCGGGATCCAGGGCAAAAGGGTAGGGGGGAACACGGAGGAATAAACTTGGTGGGGTAACCTACGAACCTCCTTCTGAGCGCAATGCTACCTTGCCTCGCTTACTTTGAATTCTCCAACAGTCCTCCCTATTCGTGTTTTTTGCGACTTTGACCACATTCGGTGACCGTTGGTCACCTTTGCTTAAACCTTTTTGTTTCTTCTTCACCGAATAAAAATCACACGCGTCGTTTCTCCCCGGAATTCTTTCTTTCCTTCTCGCTCTCTCTCTCTCGCTCTCACTCGCTCTTTCTCTCTCTCTCTCACACGCACACACACTTCCTTTTTTTTCAACGCAGCTGGAGAGGCACAAGATGGCGGACACGAGTTATTTGTTTTCGCTACTCCACACGGATTTTTCACAATACGATCACCGTTCGACAGCGAAATTTTACGTATTTGTACCTCGCAACGCGCACGCGCGTGTACACGTATGTTCATAAAACGTAAAATATCTTGTACTTATTCTGCATATGCACGCGCACTTATACGACATTTATTCTATTTTAAAAACTGATATTTTATCATATCCGCTATCAGCAGCGCTTGTCAAATTTCTGCCTCTTCTCTTAGGGATTTTTTTTTTTTACTTTCTCCCCACTTCCAAGGTTCTTTTTATCACTTTCCCAACATTTAATGAAATCGAATAATGTAATCGAACTCGTAAATTATGTGCCTCCAAACACAATCTCCTATTCAGATTCTTGCCCCCTACCTTTCTGAAGATACAAACCAAACTTAAAGATTATGAATATCCCCCCACCAGTCAATCTGAACCAATATTTCACGGCATTGCCGGTCACGTGATTTCGTTCGTCCAATCCCGTGGTTTCCATCTCGGATGTTTCCGTCTTTTTTCGTACAACACATTAAACTTCCCTCGACATCTTTCTGAAATTAAGAATTAATGAGTTTTTCGACATTAAAATTAATTACGTAATTTTTGAGCCCGAATACTATACATTTCTATTATATTTTTGATCGAATTTATTGAACAAACCAGTGTTGTGTATAACGATCAGAAAGTAAGAGACGCCGATTGGTGGAATATAGCGAGGCACGCCATCTCGTGACTCTGAATGTAAAGAATGATTTTACACTTCTTGCTATTTCTTTTCTTGTTTGTCAAATTGCCTTCATTAAAATTGAATGAAAAATCTGTAGAACGTACAATTTGAAACGCTCGAAAAAATATTTGTAAGAATACGTAAGGGGAACTATATATAATAGAATGAGCACTGGGGTTAGGAATTAGTCTCAATTGATTTTTGTATAACCTATTCCAAGTCAGATTTTAAATTTTGTGGAGTGGAAAATAAAAAAGGGACTATTAGGCAATAGAAGACAATTACAAAAATGATTAAACTTTAGAGGTTCAAAATTATTAATCTTCTTTCGATAATCTGAAATTGAAGAAATGTTTTATCTTTAGGAATTTTCTGATTCATAATCATACGTCATTTCCTGCATTATCGATATACATACTATTATTTTTTCAAACATATGAAATCGTTATGTATGTTAGGTTAAGTATATTTTACACTTTACAACGCCAGAAAACCCGTGTCGATTTAGTCACTGAATAATTATGTATAGTAAAAAATATTTTGGATCTTCTGAATCATCAAAATACTTATCATAAATATCGTTTGTCCGAAATAACCTGCATGGACCAATCAGATTATGCATAGAAAGCAATATGGCGTCATACTAACTGCCGAATACACTAAAAATATTTAATTTTATAGCTATATAACTTTTAAATCAGTAGATTCTCAAAGTTAAAATTTGCATTTTTCATCTCAATGCGACGAAATCTATCAAATTATTAAAAAAAGTCTACAATTTTTGACCTCCTAGGTCTCTAAAGTCAAAAAAGTACGATTTTTACGGAGAAATATATATATATGACTGTGCTTTAGCCAGTTCTCGTCAAATAGAATCCAATGTCCAATATTATTTTTTGTAATATAATATAATAACATTGCTTTAGTAATATAATAAAACTATAAGAAAAAAACTGTAGTGAAATAGGCAAAATTCGGAATAGTCAACAGTATACATAATTCCAAAATCTTGTAATAACTTTCGATATATATATAACCTATATAAAGTAAAAAATACACACATATATAGCTTTTAGATGGAATCTAAAGTAACTCATAAAACAGAAACTGAAGGAGAAGTAGTATACATGTGGTGGGGATCAGCATGTTCTCCCACCGTAGAGGTCTTTTTGAACTTACCCAAGTCCATACATATCTGTGTATACGCTGACGACGCGTTTACACAGAGTGTAAATACTTAAATATCGAGGAAAACAAAAACAAATGTATTCTTTTGATGTCGATGAAAATTTATCGTGAATTATCAGTTGGAGTTTCAAAGATAAGCAACATTAAACGGGAAAGGAGAAAAAAATAAGGTAAAGTTTTTATAAAATAAAACGCAGCAAAAACGCTGTGCGTCTATCATTTGAAGCTTTCCTCCGTCGATATAGGTGGATAACAAAGCGAATATTATGAGGCAAGCAAGTGGTGCCGCCATTAACCTACGGCGAAATAAACGAAGTACGTGAAAGCGTTTGACGTCAGTGATCAAGAACGCTGATAATCTTACGACGCAGATATCGTTACGTGGGAATATCATAGAATATATCTTTGTTGGTTTACGGTCGAGATTAATTAAACATATGAACGTACTTCGGTGGTTTATGGTTTAATACCTCGAGAATATCAGTAGGTCCATAATGGGCGGGGTCGTTGCTTGGGTCGAGTGAGAGACATGGAGCGACCTCAGTGTTCTCAGTGGTGAGCTGCACGGCCATCGCCGACCGTCGGTTTCGCCTAGCGCGACCAACGTATACTCTGCTATGACATCGCTCTGAAAATCCCAGATTATCCCAGTAAAAGGTAGGAGTTTCCCTCCGAAATTTGGATGCGCGCTGTCTCTCTCTCTTTCTGTCTCTCTACTTCTCTCGTTCGCTCGACCCCTGTCTTTATTTCACCCTGATGGTGTGCTGTCCCCCGACATGTTCCATCGCTTTTTCGTAGATTTCCCAAATGCGTTTCTTCGATGACTGAATATACATATATATGAATATATATATATATATATGCGCGCGCGCCCGCGCGTGTGTGTCATGTATATTTATATGTATATATGTGTGTGTGTGTGTGTGCGCGCGCGCGTGTGTGTAATTTTTTTCACTTTCCCTCCCCGAAGAAAGCTTCCTGTAGCAACCCACCATGATTCTCTCCCTTAGCTTTCCTTTCGTCTTGTCCTTTCTACGTCTCCCACCATTCGATATACGCATTTACTCAGCGTTCTTTGTTCGCTCGGTTTCGTATTTGGCTGTCATTGTGGTACACCACCTTCAATTTTTGATAAGTGTCCTTCGTAAACAGAGGATGCACACGGAGCGTGGAAACCTATCCCTTACATGCACATGGAAAAATATGATTGATATATAACTATATACATATGATTATATATTACTATACAATATAGGTTGGTTTTTACGTTTGTTTGCACCGATATGCACTACATATATATCTTTTTTTGATCTTTCCCCCATTGTCTCCTTTTACCTATCCTTTTTCCTTTAGTTCATTCGTATTCTGATATATGTATACGAAGATCCTACGTATATGAACACAAACTGAATGTGTATGTATAAACATGGGAAGCAAATTTATTATTTATTAATGTATATGCGAGTCACTCGCATACATCACTTATACGTGAAAGTACGTGTGCGTAGCAAAAGCTTTCTTAAACTTCTTAAACTGGGCTTCACTGTTTCGTTGTATTTGTGCAACATAGCCATGGTGCATTGTATTCCGTACGCATACTTTTATTGCGAATGTAATAAGTACAAGTCAGAAAGCGACAAGCGCATCATTGAAAATAGGCAACATACGAAGTGCGAAATTTTTTCTTATTATTACATTTATAGTTACAAAAATTGTTATGATTTTGATTTTGACCGATCTTTCATTGAGAATTGCCTATCTTTTGAATTTGAACGCATGTGACATGCAATTAGTAAGCGATTATTCGTTTAGTTTATATGTGTATATATATATATATATATATATACTAGTTTTTTGTATATTGTTGCTAGTAAAACTTCATAGCTTCGAACAATATATGTATGTATAACGATACAATAATAATAATAATAATAATTTTTGATGTTTCCTTTAAAATTAACGCTTAACCGTAGTTACATAAATTGAAGCTACAATTTACATTTTTTTTTCTTTTTTTTTAATAAAAGCGCAAAATTAAATTATAATTCACTCGTAAACAAACGTGATCGAGAAACATGTATATTTACTTTAAATTAAAATTTTTAATTAAATTTTTTAAAAGTTTTAATACTTTAAATTAAACACATCTTAAATTTTATAATACATACATATGTAGAAATTAAAATGCTCCCTTTTATCTTTGTAAACAACAATCATACTGCTTTGTTTGCTCATAAATGCATAAAATTTTTCAATATTTCTTCAGACTACTTTATACATAAGACTTGGGTACATTGGTGATTGAAATGTATCATACGCAATTATAATTTTGTTAATTTTAAAACTAAATAATATATTTATTCGTTTAATACTTTATTAGTGTTTAACAGGTATTGAAATAAACCATCGGACGTTAACTTAAAAAATTATTTTACACATCGTCACGCGGTATAGTTTAAAGCATCATGAAAACAATGGTAATTTAATATGGATATCATCCACGGTCAACTTGTCCCATTATAGTCGAATATTTTACTTCGTGGAAAATTTATTTCTTGTAATGTCGCATTCTATGATTGTGCAAGTTTTTAAACATTGGATGAAAATTTCCTGAAAAATAGTTCTCTTACATGCAAGAAAATTCTAATGAAAACTTACACGAATTTTATAGTAATTCATGAACAATGATGAACAGCGTTTCAAAATTACGGTTTAATAATTCAATATGTAATAATCGTGTCGTATAAGATATACATACGTGTATATATGTTCGAATGATATACATATATGAGGACACAAGTAGAGGTTAGAAAAAGTTTTCAAATTGATTTCTAGGCTGTTCCTGTTTATTATGTTCATCATACGCGCAGTAATTTCTAAATCATTGATCTCTATAGAGAGTTGACATCGACAGAGACCCGATTTCGCCAGGATGAAAGATCCAGATTTCGCGAGGACGGGGCGGACCCGCAGTATGGGAACTGTATCGACGATAACGCGAGCCGTCGTGGCATTAGGGCCACGGCGCGGCGTTCTCTCGGGTTCTCGTGTCAACACATTCCCGACGCCCACGATGAGTGACGCATGCGCCCTAAATGTCTGAGTCGCTCTTCTTCCGTTCCTCACTGGCATTCGTCCCTCTCCATACTCTTTCTCGCTGATTCACTTGCTCGTTCTTTCGGTTCTCTTACAACGTGCACACAAAAGCTTCCCATCCTATTCCTTGGATACGCCCCTGGCTTTTGTACCGAACACCCCTCGTCTCTCTCTCTCTCTCTCTCACTCTCTCTCTCTCGCTAGCAGATTCGTTGGCTACGAAATTCCTAATTCGGCGAGGGTGCATAGACAATGCAGGTCGTTAAAACAATTTCTGACTTTAAAGGATTCTTCGAAAGGTAAATTCGAGAGCGTGTACAGAAACGAAAATTATACCTGAACTTAATATCCTCTGTGTGTAGTAGCCCCTATTTCGTCCTTCGGTATGTACGCCCCTAGCAGGCGTGTAAACCTAATCGTTCTTCTCCCACCAAGTCCAGTTGAACGTAGTCGATTCTCCTCCTCTTCCGCTCCCACTGCACACACCAATTTTCCAATTGATAAGGGTGCACAGTTGATACAGACTAACCCTATCCTTCCATTCTCTCTTTCGATATCAGTCTCTCTTTATTTCTCAGCTGGCTTTGTTTTCTTTTCGTTGCCTTCGTTGGCAAGTTAACATCGCCACGCCGATAACATTGGTTTGTTTTTCGAAATCATTAACAACGAAGAGATAGAGTGAAAATTATGCGGAGAGCGTGAGAGTTTTGGGAGATGTAACCTTTATTTGTTTTATTCGTCGGGAAATTACAAGTCGAGGAAATTCAAGTCGGATATCGGACGGAGATCTGGGTAAAAGCAGGAGGGGAAACTTGTTCCTAGCGAGCAACCGAGCCGTACGTTACGTAAAATTAACAATCATGTTCCGAAACTCACTTTCCCGTCTGGGATTTCGGGAGAGGGAAGTTGATGGCATGAGAATGTTACGAGGTAACGTTGGGTAGCCCCAGACACAGAGCCACTAGTATATATATATATACCCTGGCCGCACAATGCTGTCCTTTAACAGTGAAATGGTTTCTTTTTTTTCTACTGATCAAAAAGTCCATCAGTCAAGAGTATGCAATTTTTTCACTGCCATTTTCGTTTTATATCGCACAACGGAAAAGGCAGATCTCTCCTCGGCCAACTCTTATAAAACACTTATGTAGAATAAGTTGAGCTTTGACTCGATGCGTGACGCGTATGACAGCTGTAGCGCGGCGTTGCCACGTGTTGACTTTGGCTTAACCTAAGTGACTAATTCGCTAGTCAAGCATGTTCATTCCGATTATCTTTACATTGTTACAATATAATCATTATGACACAGGTGAATGTGAAATTCGCATTAAAGGCAAGGTGAAGTTGTGTTGCACGGTTGCTAACATAGCGCAACTTCGTCGATATTGTGCAAGCGTTCGTGTGATCGGAGTAACAATGGTCAAACCCGTATAAGTTTCATTTGTCCTTTTGCTCGTTCTACGTTTTTTGCGCGCCTCACATAGTAATAACCTATCTCGGCTTAAATCATCGATTTACAGTAGTTGAATTTTTCTTCGCAATTTATTATTCTTTTCTTACCGCACGCATGTATTATTTTCTTTCCCCCGTAACAGTCGAATTGAAAGCTATCCATGAATTTACATGAGTGACCAGCATTCACCAGGGGTATCCAGCCTCGTGGAAAATGTTCGCTCCATGTTCAAGTATTAGAACTTTGGTGTGTTTACTTACACGCTCAGGGCTGTGCCAGCGGGGACCCAACATGATCTTCAAGAACTGCGTGGGTGCGGCCTTTCCCTGGTCTCGAAAGAAGGGGGACCGGATTTTCTTTCCTTTTCACTCACTCGTGTTTGCTCGCTTACTCAGTAGGTCCTTACCCAGTAGCCATCTTTTTTTTATTTGAAGGTCCCTTCATGCTCGCGGCTTTAGCATCAGCACTCCCTCGCTTTAGGATCGTCCCTATCTTCCTTCCTCTCGGCTACCCTTCACGATATTAAACCCTGTAGGACCCAGGGATGTACATACAGATGTAGCGTTAACCCATTCGCTATGTATAAACGAGTAATTTTTTTGTTTTTATCTGTTGTTTTTCTGATCGATACGATCGTCGATCAAAGTTAACAATACGTAAAAGATACGCAGCAATCGAATCTCGTTACCTACTAATAGAGTCACTGTACAGTTTTACATTTAATGTCGATCGATAGTATCATTACGTACGTAAGTGTGCACAGTGGTTACGTGCTATGAAATTCGCAATTCAAAGCGCGTTGGGCTCTTTTCCATCGAATGGGAAAAGTAACACGTTCGTTAGAGATAATGGACAGTCTGCGTTCCTTCATTGATTCTCGATTGATTTCAATCGCGCATAAGTAAGTAACTTTACATCACCAGATGTACGAAATATCATAAAAATAATTACTTAAAGCGCATTGTTCTTCTGTGATTACGCCTGAATCGCTATATTCGTCTCACAGTTCTATTCACCTGGAATCCCGTCTATTTCAATAATAATCTGAGATAGTAAATCTTTCGGCTAATATTTAACATCGTAATCTTGTTTGCTCGCGAATATAGATAATACGAAATAAAAGGGGGAAAAAAGTAAAATCTTATCTTAGCCGAGGGAACGCGTATCGACCGTGTCGTGGTAAAGCGAAAGTACGGGGCACTTTCGTTGTGGCGTACGCCCATGCGACTGGTCTCCCCCCCAACACCGTCGCTTCTCCCCACCGCGCAGTCACCCCTCCCCTTCCAGTCTAGCGAGCCGCGTTTCGTCTCGGTGCCTCAGTTTGTC